AAAGTCCCATGGTCTGGGAAGGAATTTTGATTTTTGAATGTTCCTGCCCGGGGAATTAATTATTTTTTAAACTTTTTTTACCTATAGTTTTCTTTTACTTTTCTTGTTTGTTGTATGTTTCCTTTGTGTTGGTAAGTTAAACCCTATACTGCTAACTAAGTCAAACGGTTCTGGTTCATTCATTGGTTGGAAAACTCACACAAATTGAGGGACGCAAGAATTTCGGGGACATATCTTTCTGTTTTCATATTTTTGAAAACTCCAAACTTCAAATTGGTTGTTGTTGCTTGTTTTGCTGACGTCACACGATCTTGTTGGAAGCTGTCACCTAGGTGGGGGAAGCCTGATTGGCACATGTAGATGAGTGTGAGCCAGTCTAAGTCCACTCACCTTGTGGTGAAAGAGAGACCCAGATGTGCTTATTGAGACAGTTTTTGTTCAAGTCTTTGCCATCTTGTGTGGTAACTTCACAAAGACCCCGGAGTGACGGAGTACACTGGTTCACAAAGTGACGGAGTACACTGGTTCACAAACTGACAGAACAAGGCTGTACCAAGGAGAGAAAGGAGCCATCCATCTGTTGTGATTTCACTCAATGTTGTTGGAGGAACCTGGGTAACACAGAAGTTGGGAAGACTTTGAGGAAAAGCAGCATGTAGCAGTAGTGTGGTAAAGGTTAATGTAGCAGTAGTGTGTTAAAGGTTAATGTAGCAGTAATGTGGTAAAGGTTAATGTAGCTGTAGTGTGTTAAAGGTTAATGTAGCAGTAATGTGGTAAAGGTTAATGTAGCAGTAGTGTGGTAAAGGTTAATGTAGCAGTAATGTGGTAAAGGTTATGACCTTATTCAGTTGTGAGCGCTGTAAAACCTCTACTAAAACTAACTGACTGATGTGTGTTTGCTGTGTGTCTGACTGTGTTCCTGACAGCTTGTTTCTTTGAAAAGCTCAACTGACAAGAAACGCACCGATAGTTCTGTCAAAGTTCCTGGCGCAACTTGTCCTCAAAAAATACTATTTCTTTAACGGGTGAATCAATGTCGTCCATACTTTGTACAGCAGTTTGTATCAATTTGTCTTTACTTCATCATGTTCTTCCACAACAATTAAGGCTAGATCTACATTTAAAAACTTTTATTGATACGTTTATAAAATACTATAAATCTCCATCGCCCTAAAATGGTATTGTTCTCAGTACTTCCCACTTCTCACACACATTTTGTCCACACATATGGCCTATGTCACAGCTCACACACATTTTGTATACACACATGTGGCCTATGTCACAGCTCACACACATTTTGTATACACACATATGGCCTACATCACAGCTCACACACATTTTGTATACACACATGTGGCCTACATCACAGCTCACACACATTTTGTATACACACATGTGGCCTACATCACAGCTCACACACATTTTGTATACACATGTGGCGTACATCACAGCTCACACACATTTTGTATACACATGTGGCGTACATCACAGCTCACACACATTTTGTATACACATATGGCCTACAGCACAGCTCACACACATTTTGTATACACACATATGGCCTACAGCATAGCTCACCAATGGACTTGCTTTGTTGTGAAGAATGATCATGTGACTGGTGTAGAGCGCTCAGAGCTTATACTAGTATGGGATAGAGCGCTATATAAATGCAATTTATTATTATTATTATTATTACTTGCTTGTTGTGTTTTGTTGTAGTAAAGGTGACAGCTGATCAACCTCTTGTTTTATTATAGTAAACGTCCTTGAGGAGGATGACGACGACCTGATGGTGGAGTGGTTCCAACTGGTCAGCGAGAAGAACGACCTTGTGCGACAAGAGGCTGACCTTGTCTACCTGTGAGTCTCGCAGACGCCCGCTGGTTGTGTGTGGTGGTTGTGTGGGGTGGTTGTTTTGATTGTTTGTGGGATTGTTTTCAGAATACTGATTGTAAAAGTGGGTGTGTCTCTGGTAGGTCCTACTTGTTTTCTTTCTCTCCATTGTGTCTGTCTATCTGTCTTACTCTTAGTGTCAACAGTTTTTTTGCTTGTTTTTTTCTTTTTTCTTAAAATCATGGTTGGTGGTTGGAGGGCGCTACTGGTAGGTTCTATTTCTTTACTTTCCTTCTGCTCTGTCTGTCTGTCTGTCTGTCTGTCTGTCTTACTTTTTCCCAGCATTAAATGACCATCGTTGTGTCGATGTGATGGACTCTCTTTACTCAAACAAACAAACAAACAAGCTAACAAGCACACAACAACACACAACATCTACTACGTTCGGAGTCATGACATGGGCAGGTACATTTGTTCTGGGGTAGGACGGGCGTGGGACAGCTGCAACCATAGTGTGTACTAAGGTAAAACTCTCGCCTGATTCTTATAGTCATTCCCAGATGAGATGCAATATTTAAACGATTTTAACCCAATTGAAAAATTAACAATCAGAGAAGCTCACCCACGTACAGCGAAACCGCTTTTAGGTAGACGG